ACTTCAAAAAATTTTTGAAAATTAGATAGCATTCATGAAAATACACTAAACATAGTGTAAACGTAATTGCTTTTAAATATGCCCGATGAAAACCACGCTGCGTCTGTGGATCCAGCTTAAAGCTTAAAATTCAGCATTACTAATTCTAATCTCGTATAAAAAAGTAAGTTTCTCGCATAAGCGATGTTGAATTTTTATCATGGTTTTGGCACAAACATATGAAGTAATTATGCATTATGCAAAAAATGTAAATGAAATGGTACGTTATGCAAAGTATCGTTTAAACTTACCCTTTATTTAACGGAGACAGAGTGTTAGCGTTAGTAACAACATTTACCCCACCATTTTGAACAATGTTTACCCCACCATTCTCGACAACTTTCACCCCACCAGGGGAGTTTAAATTGTCCGTCACATTCACAGATATTTGTTCCGTCATATTTGAGTCCTGATATTATATTGAATTTCACAACACTGTTAGAAAAAAAAGAAAAATCTGATTAGCTTTCCAATTTTACAAAAAGTAGAAATCCTTTGCCAAAATAAAATTGGAAAACTAAAGATTCTTCTTTTTTTTGGTTAAAGTTAGCGCACTATTCTGCAAAATTAAATATGATGTTTTTTTTTCGTAGTTTATCTACGGTTTTTCCTTACAAGGACTCGTAACGAAATGAGCGAGTGTCAGGCGTTATCGCAAAATGAATAATCCTGTTATCGTATCAATAATAATTATTGTTAGATACCTATATTATTACTTAAATTCTTTCATTTCTTTTACTAATAGCGACAAAGCCGATAACAAATCAAATTAATCTATAACAGTTTATTACTAAGTTGAATATATGTAGATTAGTAGAATCAAAGAAATTCTAGTCCAGCAGAAAAGTTATGTTTACGGTTAAGAGTAAAACTTTTCCGGCCCATTTAAAAATCGGCTTTTATACAATGATTTCTTTTTACATATTTTTTTAGTATTTTTATTTGTTTTTTTTTTCTGTCTGTTTTTATTATTTTTCAAACCATTTTCAAAATCAAACCTAATTACTTCAGGTTAGCGTTCAAAAATGTAAGTTGCTCGACTTTTGATGTTTTTAGACGACACCTCTTTTCAATGATAAATAATCCCGCCTTAAAGAAGAGCAATAGATTTCCGTAAACAACAAAGCGAAATCGGACTTTCGAAATTCGCGCCATCTTTTTTACTCCGATTTGTTACGATTGGTAAGAAAGAGACAAAGCGAATTTTACTGACGCTCGAAATTGTGAAGCAATTCACGAATCCGATTTACATTTGGATAATTGTGGTGGTATTAGATCGCTAGCGTTTATGGTTCAGTTAGATTTTTGAAATCGGATTTTCTTGCTGAGAAATCGTTCTGTATCGATTTGTGTTTTGTGTCCATGTGATTTTTTTTCTAGTAAAATTTTCTCTGCCTGTTACATGAGGTAGGTATACCTAACTCACATGCACTGACCATTATGCTACCGCCCAGATAGCAAAGGGTGCTGGTTCGAGTTCCGTCTCTTGCCTGGCCCGCGTGGATTTTTTTTAGTATTTTCTTTAGATCTAAACATATACCAGTTGAATGCTTAAAAAACAAAAATATAAGGTATATTTCAAAACCTTATAGGTGGTTCCTCCCTCTTCACGATCACAATTAAGTGGCCGTTATCTCATCGCCATCAAAGTCATATCATTTGTCAAAATTGTACTATGAATATACCTATATTTAATTAGCATGAATGAATCTTCGACTATATTACAGATGTAGATATAGTATCCACTTTTAATAAAAGTCGAACTTAAAAAGGAAGACTTCAACAGAATTTCAAAATGACTAGCATCTCTTATCTATTAGACAAGTCCGTCTGTCTGTGGTGCTGTTTCAGCGGCCAAACCGTAAGAGATAGATTAAAAGAATATTTAAGTTATAAGTTAAGAATAGTCTGATAAGACTACAAACCGGATTTGAGTAACGTAGCACTTCCGGTTTTCGAGAAATCAGGTTTTGGTGAACATTTGGTTCACTGGTTTGTTAGTAATACATTAATACAAAAAGATAATGTGTGTCTCCACTAGAAAAATGACAAAACTTAGGTCGATCCTTACCTCTTTATTATGTAATTTAACTACCGCCCATAGTGATCGTTAACAATTTTGATGGTAATCATTGAATTTGTACGTCTACCGGATACGTTATCGCTTTTGTATCGTACTGTATATATCGATAATATTGTAATTACCATTACCAGGGGCTTATTTTGATATCTGGCGCCACGGGCCATTTACGATTTGCACACCATCCCCTCCTAGAATTCGTAAATCAAATCAAAATATAGGTCGGTAACAAATGTCTGTATATTGTCATGATTTTTGTTCAATATTTATTAATTTTGGGAGTATTTTGATTAATTCCTGGCAACACTGGCGCCGTGCTACCTGTTACCCCTCCATTTTGAAAAGAGGGTGGTTATAAAAGTCAACGTAACGGTATAAGGGATTCATTCGTATATTAGACGTTGAAGTGTTAAAAAGTAATTGTGACTGTATTGGCAGTTCAAGTAAATCTACATTTTTATACTGAAGGATTGCAGTTTTATTTCAATATATGGCTTTTGCCGCTCCTTGAAAACGGCATTTACACTATACAATTTTATGGGACCCAACCTGACTAAGGGTGGTGTAATATGAGTTAGAGAGTAAGGGACCCAATCTAGAATGATCGGCGCGGTGTAATAATTGCTTTGTAATTTTTTTTTAAATATTTTCCGTTTCTTCATAAGTTTATGATTTTAGAAATTTCTCAGCTACTTCTTTACACTCGTGCTTTTTCCTCTTCCAGTTCTTTACACACTTTTTTAAACGGTTATAAAGTGCGATTTATTAACTCTTGTAGTATATTACTTATATTTTGGATCCTTTACAGACTTCACAGTGTACTTGAGTGAATTTCAACAACTATAATTTTTTACGTGGAATTTTTTGTTCTATATTTTTAAACGATGGTTCATGGCATTGCAAATATTTTGAAAGCTTATGCAAATTCAAACAACATATCAAAATTCGTCACATAGCGAATGCATAGTTATGGATTTTTTTTTGTTATTTGTCAACCATGGAAATCAATTCGATTTTATATAGGTAGTTGGCGGGAAAACATAAGAAATAAATAAATACTTTTGGGTTAAAATGAATAAAAAAAATTGCGATACATTTAGGTTCATTTATTATTTATTAATGACCACAAACATAGTTCCGCCATACGCAAAAGACTTATTTCTGCTATGGAAATCAGTGTTACATAATACATACCTACTTTATTTTTACTTATAGTAAAAAACCCGACAAAGGAGATGAATTCGGGAATAAGTCGAGCAAAAACAGATCTTAAAACTACTGCTTTATTTATTTTAATTTCTCGTTATAATAACAATAGACAAACACATTCTGTGATTTCAGTCTATATAATATGTACGTTTCATAAGATACACAGCTCTCTGACAAACCGTCAAGTAGAGTATTCGCTTTGCTTAACAACAGTCAAGTAGAATTGTTGAAAGAAGCAGCCAAGCCTTTATATTTTTATATTTAATCTAATTAATATCACTTTTAGTACTACAATTTTAAAAGCCAAGAGCAAATTATTAACTATTTAACTAGAATACAGCTGAGGAGCTCGATCCCGCATGTGGTTAGCGCGTTCGGCTGCGATCGTTGAAGTTAAGCAACTTTCGCAGTGGTCGGTCAGCGGATGGGTGACAAAAAGCTTCTTTCTCGAGTTCCTCCGTGCTTTTCGGAAGACACGTTAAGCCGTTGGTCCCGGCTGCATCTGCACTCGTTAGCACCCGCCAATCCACACTGGGCCCGCGTGGTGGGTCATGGGCCAATCTCCCTATGCCATCCATAGGGAAGGCCTGTGCCCCAGCGGTGGGGATATTAGTAGGCTGATGATGATGATGATGATGATGAACAGCTGAAGGTTTTGGATTTTCAGAACTTACATGTTTTACAAGGTTCTAAACTATATTCTTATAGATTACTGAATACCATTGGAATAGTTGCTAAAATAAAATAATTAATAAATAGTCCGTTACCATGGTCCAATGTAACTTTTTGTGACATCTCAGCTGTATTCAAACTTTAATCTAAACTACTTACTTATAAATAATAATTGGAAATATTGTTAAATCTAAATAATACTGTGAAATATTAGATTCGAAACGATGTTCATGTTCACTTTTTTTATATTAATTTTTAAACACACACCAATTAGCCTAGCCCCAAGGTAAGCACTGTAAGGCTTGTATTATGGGATACTAGGGTAACGGATAGAAAACGTTAACTGTATATATATAAGTACATTTATATAGAAATACATGTTAGGTATCCATGACTGGAGTACAAATGCTCGTATTCAACACACAAACATCTGCCCCCACTGGGATTGAACCTCTTGAGTCGGCAACATCGTGAAACTCGGCGCACAAACCACTAGGCCACGGAGGTGGTTATTGGAGTATTAATTCTCATTTTTTGTATAAGCAAAAAACTGGAATTATTATTTACTTCATAAAATAGGGTCTTTTAATACATATTATCACGTTCTCTTTGACACAATAAAAGTTTATTGTTTTAAACTTTCATGGTCACTAATATAAGTTATTTACGGGATTGTTACCATGTACCTTGTTTTTAGCGAGTTTCCGATATTTCGGCACTGTTGCAAGCGCCATGATCACGGAGTAACTGAAGTAATTGCGGGTAGGCTGTTATTGGCAGACATATCGGATATGTCTAACTCGCTTGATACCAGCCATACACAATACGAGAAATCGTTACGATCAGACTGTACAGTTCGAACGGAACAGTTTATACTATTTCATTTAGTATAGGAAACTGTGCAGTTTTATAACATACACGCTACGATTTATCGTTACCGTTCGGACTGTACAGTCTAATCGTAACGATTTCTCGTAGTGTGTATGGCCGGTATGAAACAAGGTACATGGTAACAATCCCGTAATTAACTTATATTACTTTAACAATAAAAGTTATTTCAGAATCTGATCCTGGATTTAGAAATTGTACTTCCAAACCTCGAATAAAATTTATTAAGGACGTTAAACCCTTTATTAATAAACTAGGAATGAGTTTTGTTACGCCTTGTTTTTTTTATATCATTCAAGTGCCATTTGTAATTCAATGAACAGAGACAAAACGTAGAGTAACTAATCCTAGCATATTATTCGATTGTTAAGAATGGGGTCATGGCCTTGAGTTATCCCTATAAATGTGTTTCCTTGAAAAAAAAATGATATTGAAGCCTTTTTTCAATAAATTTTGGGAATTTCTGACAATTAAAAATTAGAAAAAAATTAGCGCGACGAATATAATACCATTGCTGATTTCTCGAGAACAAAATCTCAGCTCATGGATAATACTTATTTTAAATAACACGATGCATAATTACGAACAATTATTAAAATTTTGATGTGGTTCACCCAGACTTAGCTATACATTACAACTAAAATATAACATTGAGCGTATCGTAAGTATTTTAAACAGAAAAGTTCCTTAGTATTGTGAATACGGCTCTGAAAAAGCTGTTGTTTAAGCTAACCTTATGATATTCTAACTTGTTTAGATCAGAGACCTAGTTCTAGAATTTTTGTTTCCCCTTGCTTCTTAAATTCCTCGGCATTGTTTACAACAAATTGCATATCCGAGGGTGGGTGGCCTGTGGCTTACAGCACGAACAGGAAACTGCCTATATTAGGTTCCAGCCTCCCACAATTTAAGGTATTTTATTTCTAAGATGCACTTCTGAAATTTAAATGATTTTGAAGTGAAACTTGTTTTCGGAGGGGGTGTTAATTGAAAAATCTTATGGAAAAGATAAAACAGAAATGCTCACGAGCGTCTATTCTGGCAGCAGCAGTGCAGCTCTTCCCGACTAGTATGAAATTTGGAGGGTAACTCGACGAAGGCTGGAACGCTACGAGCGTCATATGAGACAATATACATGAATTATACGTGCGCTACTCCATTCTCCTATGCCTTATGCACCGCTTAATGTTAGGTTATTTAAGAAAAGAAGTTTCACTTAAGATAAATTTTTATTATTATATTATTTATCTCATGAAGCATCAACTTTAGTCAAATTTATGTATAGGATGCTAGTATGGGATGCAACCAGTTCAGACACGCTGGCCCCTTCCCATCTACATGAACCAACAACAGAGCTGGTACGGCTTGCGAAGCGGCTGAAAAAACTAAGGCATGCAAATACAGGGGCCTAGGCTCCGAATATGATTTTGTCCCATTCGGTGTCGAGACCCTTGTTCGTGGTGTCCTAGCGCTGTAAGGCTTTTTAAGGAAATAGCAAAAAGGTTGGTCGACATCACAGGAGACCGAAGAGCTGGCAGCTACCTCGGACAAAGAATTAGTCTAGCTATTCAAAGGGGGAACGCTGCCAGTATCTTTGGAACCTTGCCTAAAGGGACTCCTTTTAATAATGTGTTTTAGTTATTGTAAATATATTAAATCTTTGCTGCGTAAGAAAAATCATTTTTTATTAGTAAGGTCAATAGTCAAATTTTAAAGTTGATTGACTTCTACAAGTGCGACTGTAAGAAGTTAGCATTAAGATTTTCTTTTTTTTTCTGCGTAAAGTACCGAAAAGGATCCGTAGCTATAAATTATCTCTATTTACATTTCATATTAGGACGAAATAGATTTTGTAGTTGCATCTTCAACCTTTGTAGCGACTGTATTGTCTTCTCTTTCGAAAAGATAGTTGGTGTTTTGCGTAGTGCTGCTATGACTGGCCACGTTAACGGGTTGGCTGTACGCTTGGCCGTTGTAGGAAGGCTGGCGGCTGGATTGTTGGCCGTATGTTTGAGGTTGGCGATTGGATTGGTCCCCGTATGTTGGAGGTTGGCGGTTTCCTTGTTGGCTGTACGTTGGTGGTTGTCGATTGGATTGTTGGTCGTAGCTGCTTGGTTGCCTGCCGCTGTGGTCGTAGTTTTGGTAACGCGAAGGTTCAATGTCGCGGTCGTCTCCTTTCGGGATTCCACTGTAATGTGATAAAACAAACCTTTTTTTATATTATTTTGTTAAAATTCAATTGTTTACAAAACAATCGACTCACTAGTACACAAATCAGTTAATAAAAAATCTTAAGTTTCTCCTATGCCCGAATTAGTGCTGTATTTTTTTATGTGTGAGTGTCGAAATTACATTTTCGTTGTGGCGAAAGTATGTTGGATTGCATTTGTGTGCATATTCCTCCCCCCGCAAAAAGCGGCAGAATGATTTCAGTAATATTATGTCCTTAATATTATGGCTACTCTCCTCCTAGCCGTGTCGGCTGTGTTGCTCTATAATAATAATAAATCAGCTTTAATTTCTCCATAACCATATCGAGCTTAACAATAACTTAATTATGATATTATTAACAATATTTGGCTATGAAGACTCTCTATGCTTGTACCACATAAAATATCGTTCAAACATTTAAATTAATGGCAACACAGATATTATGGTAAATGTGCATCTTCAAGTTAATAACAATTAGCTACGGAAATGACAATCAAGGAAATAGGATTAGCTGTCATCTGTCAGTCAATGACAAATTGCGTTATTAACAGTTTTATATTTAACCCATACATGACGACATAGAGACGACATATTCAGATGGCGGAATGACAAATTGCGTCTAATTAATAACGTTTCTTTATACGCCGATTCCCTATTTTATTCAGATTTTTAGCAATTCTTATTGAATTTATCGCGGTTGGATGAGTAAGTCTTTTAAATCTAAAGAAAAGTTTACTAGAAAAAAATCCACGCGGACCAGGCAGCGGACGGGTCCGCGTGGATTTTTTTCTTGTAAACTTTCTTTTAGATTTAAACATCTAGCAGTTAAATGCTTTAAAAATAAATAAAATCATAAGTCTTTTAAACTCTAATTTGAGATGTTTTTGAGAAAATTTGTATGAATGTACAAAATTGGGCAAAAATGGAAGGTCTCCTTTGGAAAAGTTGAAATCTACATAAATGAAGTTGTTGTCTCTCACCCCTGTTCGAGCGGCCGACTTTTTTTTATAAATAGGTCTGACTAATAACTCCACCCCACCTGATGTTAAGTAACGGTGGAGTCGAAGATAGCTGGTACAGCAGTGTTACCTGCCACACCAGCCGTCCTCACCCTGCTAGCTTGCACATTGTTCCTTCACGCCTCTTTTTAAGGTTTACAGTGCTGCGGTACTCCAGCAGGGGGCCATTCGCCTAACGGAATTGCTTTGGAAATCGCTAATGCTTTCGATTTCATTTTGTTATTTCTGACCGCCGAAGGTTTTCAAATACCTCACGCTCATTTTCTTTAATATTGTTATTACCAATGCAAAAGAAAAAAAAATGGGTGCGTGTACTTATGTAGGCGCGTGAGAAGTTATCCTTCTTTGGCATCGTTTAAAATTAGTTTTTAATTGCATGCAAATAATTAATTACAATAAATTAATAAAAAGTCTGGAAAAGGACGAAGTCAATAAAGTTCAGTTTTAATTTGAAAAAATAAATAAATAATCAAAATATTCAATTAAAATCGCTACTGAATATAATTTATTAGAACATATGTGATTTGCACTTGTATGAAACTCAACGACGTATTCCGAATATACAAACTAGAAACATGTGGATAAATATTATAAATATGAATACCTATAACTGTTACTTTATTACAAAAAATAAAGATGTGGTTTTTGGTTCTACTACACCAATGGTCAAGAGATGGCGCTGTAGTCTCCTGAATCGCGCTTTGGTTCCGTTGTTCCAAATTAATAAATACTTTTGATAGGCCTTCACAATGCAGTCGTTAGCACCCACTAAATAGAGATTCTATTTCTATTTTGTTGGTAGATTTTCTTAATGTGCGGTAAACACAAAAGTAACGCATGATCGCTAAAGCGATCAACTTCATTATGTTAAAATTTTGTGTTACAGTGATGCGCGCGCATCTTAAAATTTCACTCTCATAATTTTTTCATAACGCGCCTAAAGAAGTATAACTTCAAAAAGGCATTTGAAAACCTCAGGCGGCTAGAAATAACAAAATGAAATCGTAAGCGTTAGCGTTTTCCTAAGCATTTCCGTTAGGCGAATGACCCTCTGGCACTGTGGTGAGTAGTGAGACCGACATAAATTAATACATATAGTTTTACCTCTCGTCCCTATAGGGTCGGCCGACGTTCCTCCATCCGCTGTAGCCGCCCGTACCCGCCCCGTACCCGGTCCCACCCGTACCGGCCCCGTACCCGGCTCCGCCCGTAGCACCGTACCCGGTGTTGTCGTACCCGGTGCCACGGTAGTCCAGCGGGTCGCGGTACCCTGCAGAGGGGGAGTAGCCCACGTTCTGCCAACCGCTGTCTGTGTACTGTGGTCTGAAATAGGATTGTATGACGATTTTGAAAAGAGAAGCTGATGTGAGAGGTTTCCATACACAGATCACATCCACTAGAGTCCGCATTACTTGTTTTGTTTGAAACCGAAACCGTCAAAATGGAGGGAGGGTAAGCAAAGTTGTGATGAACACGTCAATGTGACGTCACGGTCCTAGACTTTGGCAAAACGATGTATCGCCGTTAGTGGATGTCTGGAGGCGTGTCACACCTATTGTTAGAATACTTTCTAGACTTGGCGCAAGCGGGTGCCCTTGTATACGATCTAAGAGACGCAACTACTTCTATGCTACCTTCCCAGCCAAGATACATCAGTCCTTTGGTTACTTGTCGTACAGGTGCATCGCAAATCCAATGGTCCCAACGCGAAGTTGGACCCATGGAGCACCCCAACTAGAGTCCGCAACACTCAAATTTTGTTTGAAATCAAAATCGCCAGTGTCGGCGGTGTGCGGACAGGGTAGCCGCGTTCTGATTGGACACGTCAAGGTCAGATGATAAACTCAGTCCATCGAAGTGATGGAGGTAAGATCGATTAAAGAAAATATCGATACTTTCTGTCGATAAGCAATTTAGTATAGAAGCCTGGTAACGTTGGTGCACGAGTGTAGACATGCCACCACTTTGTTCCAGCGTTCTTTTTAAATGACGCGACCAGTTCACGACGTTTGGGGGCGTGCCTCACGCATAGGTAAAATTTTACTTTAGCTTGGCGTAAGCGGTTGCCCTTGTATGCGGACTCTAGTGGGGGTACTCCATGGTTCTACCCTACCACTGCGTGGACTCCCCAAAACCACTAATAACTAGGGCGCCGCGTCCGGGCCGACGTGAAGTAGTAGCCGCGACAACGTGCGCCAGGTAACCAAGGGACTGGTGTAACAGTGAGACTGCACCCGTACATCAGTCCCGTGGTTACCTGACGTACAGGTGCATCGCCCGTCCAGTTGTCCCAGCTGTGTGCAGCAGGGTAGACCCAGCTTACCATGATACTTCAGTCCCCTGGTTACCTGGCGTATTCAGGACGGCCCCAGGCAGTGGAAGGTGCCGGCGCTGCGTCTGGGCGTCCCGAAGCGAAGTAATAGCCGCGGCCGCCCGCGTCCCAGCCCGCCTGTCCGCGGTACGTTTCGTCCCACGGCCTGAAACTAAATGAACGATGCACTCAATGCTAGTCTTTAAGCGTGTGTTTGTTTACATGCGTAGAGCAAAACATGTGATTTTTGGCATGATTAGTGGAGGGGAGAATAGAGAATTATAACCACATTTTTTTAACCTAATTAAAGTTGAATGCCTCCAGTGGAATGCTGCGTATCATAATTAGCATAGTTTCTGAATTGATTTTATTTGAATTCTTAACTAAGTTTCTTTGTATCGGTGTTAAATAATTGTTTCTTTTATATATATATATATTCGCTTACATCATTACTTTAATAAAACGGTTATTTATAACGTGTATACTTTTAATTGGTTAACTATTTTTTACATAATATTTGACGTTTACAGGATTTGTGGTCACAAGACTTGACAAAGTAATTAATAAAAAACGACGACCTTTATTTAACACATAAGTTTCAAACATCATGTAAAAAGAGTGACAATAACAAGCCTTATTGCTTATAATGTTTTTTAAAAGCACTCTGCTCTTTACATTCTTTTAACTCTGAAATACTTATTATTTGACGCCTGGTGCAAAGCAATAAAGTAAGTACCTACTTGATAATTGAAAATAAATCACAAATATAATACGAATTAAAATTCAATTATATAATCAAATATGTGAACATAAACAAAGATGAAAACTAATAAAAAATTGGGTTACCAAAAACAAGTTCTTCGACCTTATCCATTTTGAAATTCGAACGCCCAGGAAACCGAGGTCCAATGACCGCAATTCGCCAGGGGTACTCACCCGTCCGCAGTCAACGTGAAAAAGAACATGTGTTGGCGAAAAAAAAACATAAATACCGTTTGCAAATTAATTTCAACAATTCAAAAGTAGCGGTATCGTATCGCCGTAATGACTCTGTAATGTGTTGTGTATAAACGCGTCAAGATTGTGATGCAAATTGGATAATTATGAGACGCGCGTGTTGGTTATTTATTAGTAAATCTGTTTATTGCATGCTGATACTTTAACAATACTTTAGGATGTACATTTCAAGGCATATAAGTATGAATATAATTCATTGTTCTCTTTCTGGAGTATTTATAAGATAAGTTACTTTTACTTACATTTCCTGATAAAAAAAATACTCGGCCTATAGGTAATCAATCAGGTTGGATTGAAATTTCACTGACAGCACAATCAAAGAAAGGGACTTTATTTTAACAATGTATTGGTGTCGATTCTGGCATGATTCTCTAAACCTTAACTTAAATTTGACAACAGTGCATCCTTGTCATTCTCTTTAAATAATGAAAAGGAGAGACTGATGTTAAATTTAGTCTTAAGTTTAGAGAATCACGCCAGAATCGACACCATTGTAAAATATACCTCGATTCTACAAGCTAAATGTGCACTCCTAAATACCTACCGACTAGGTTAAATAATTTCCATGTATCTTACAAAAAGAAATGCTATTTCAATCCAAATAGCTAATTTCCATGTATCTTACAACTAGAAATGCTATTTCTATTTTATGCTTATAACAATTTCGAAGTACATTTTGTTACAATTACGCCACGATAAACAAAACAATATTTCAACCAGGCTAGCGGCAATTACGCCACAGCGGCTCATTTGAAAGTCAACATACTCGCGTGACAATAGTCGTATGGGTCACAACACAATGAATCACATAAAACGACAGAACGGTGGCATAGTTCATCCCATCTCATTGATCACACCAATTTCGGTGAAAGCGTATCTCAATTGATACCACCAGTTGAGTGAATGTATAAATAATCCGCATGAACTCGATAACGGGGCGTCAATTTCCCGTTGAACTTTGCAAATGATAGGCCTACACTATTTGCCAATTACTGTACTGTAAGTGTACATACAGTTAAACTTAATGACGCGTTCTGGTTGGAATAAAACTATTTCTATGATTGATAGCTGTCTGAGCGCTTGTTAGATTTGTCATATTTTTTGTTGCAATTATTTGCGATGTATATGAATTGACGACGTAGTTACGAATCCTGTTATTCTTAGATTGTTTTTTATTCCACTTGTTAAAAACAAGTGAAGTCTAGATGGGATAATCAAACCATCACAACAGCAAATTAGGAAATTCTATTGCTCTGCTCCAATTTTCTAGTAAAGAAAAGCATCGTGATACTTTTCTATCCGTTATTTTATCATATGCTTTTCGCCATTATTGAGACTAAGTGTAAAATACAAAATACCTGACTATTATTGGTAATTTCGTCTAATTCAAATTTATTGAGATAACAAGCGAGAAGGAAATAAAACGCTTACCTGTCGTGTGGTCCTCTTCCAGCTGTAGGTCCGTACCCTCCGAACGAGTCGTCATAGGCTCCAACTCTATCGTATCTGTCGCTATAAGCTGGTCTTCTATAGCCTCCATATCCATAGTTATCAAATCTGCCACCAAAGCTGTTTCTATCATCATACCTATCGTACAAAGGCCTCCTTTCTCTGTAAGGGTCGTCGTAAGGCGGTCTATCATACCTATCCCTGTTGTACCTATCTCCTAAGAATCTATCGTAATAGTCATGTCTGTATCTGTCACGGTCATCGTATCTACCCCTATCCCTGTCGCGATCTCTGTCCCTATCCCTCCTTCCACCCGAGGGCCTTCTATCCTTGTCATCAAACTGTTTCTTGTCTTTGTCACCTTCATCTTCTGTTCCATTCTTTGGATTTGTTCTGTCGGTGCTGTACCTTCTATCGTCATCGTCTTGGTCGCCTTTATTCCTGTCGTACCGGCTGCCATACGTAGGTTTGTGGTTGCCTCTTCTGTCATCGTCGAACCTGTCGCGACGTCTGTCGTAATCATCGTCATCTCTGTCGTCTTGGCAGCGGCCGCATCTTGAAGGGCGGTCGTATTCTATCCTTTCGTAAGGCCGTCCAGTGCCGTACCGCGTGTCGTAGTAGCTGCGAGCTTGTCGGCTAGATTTGGTCTCGTCCGTTGGTGTTAGCACCGCCGATAGCACAGAATCGGCTACTGTTGTCTCGAGGATTGAGGACGCGATGCATATTGTTAATATCTGGAATAGAGGAACACAAGTATTACTGGGATAATCTTAAATGAAATAGAATCTATAAAATAAGTCTGCATTTAATGGCTAAACTATCCTTGAACGTACAGGGAATGCATGTTTTCTATAAAAAAAACTGATTTTAAATAAATGTTTGCGTTTAAAAGTTTATTTATTTATATCAACTTTTTAAAGAGCTTAAAACCTTTTAAAAGATAAACCAGCCTGATACCTGAGACAAGTAGAAAATTTCTGGTAATCAGTCTTAGAAACAAATATCTAGCAGTCATATTAAAACAAAATCAATGTAATATATGTATAAAAGAAGAAACTGACTGACATATCAGCGCACAGCCCAAACCGCTTTGTGTAGATACTCCAAATTTGGCACGTAGGTTCCTTATGAGAAAGGATTTCGGATTGAACCCTCAGGGTTTAAAATAGATATGAACGTTTCTATGAAAAAAACAATCTTGAGTTGAAACTTGGCACTTTCTTCGTATTATGTGTACTAAATAAATTACAATTTATTAAGTATTATGCTGAGGCAGGGACCTTATATACAATTAAGGATAATTACTTTATCTTTTTTTTTCTGTTGATTGTGTAGGGTTTTTGTATGTTTGTATGTTGTAATATTGTCAATAAAATGTTTCTCTCTGTATACAGGGTGAAATTGAATGTTTTAATGAAACTTCGTGGGAATGTTGGGTTACGTATATAGAGTATCTCTGAATTTTTTCGGATTTTTAAAAAATGATTTAAAATAAAATTTTGTTTTTTTTTTGTTATATTTTTAGTCCTTTCCTCCTTTTGGGTACTAAATAATTATTCTTTTAAAACATGCATACAGAGTAAGTAAAAAACAAGTAATAAGCACTACTAAGTAAAAACAGGAGACGGGCGGCCGGGAGCAATGACCGCTCTCGCCGTTGAATACCTTCCTGCCTACCTATCTAGGTATGCGCGGTGCACAGCGCAGTGAGCGAGCGGAGTCTCAAGCGCGCGTGCGTATCTTTTAAATTTGTGACAAGACAAGATTTGCAAATAATGCCTTGATTAGTTCTTGTTCTGTGGCCTCAATATAAGAATTTGGATATGGTGTGTTGTTATTGCGAGTGTCACGGAATACTCAGCAGAGCCACAAGGCTTTACGAAAGTAGGTTTGGTGATTTATTGGGAAGTTATAGAGAAAAAAATTAATAGGTACATCGGTCTCGTAAGTACTTGTGAATACCTGGTAATAAATTTCATTCTGACCCAAGTATTGAACTGCAATAAGTTTTTCTTTTTGTTTAACTTTTGCCTATTTCCAATCGTGACAAAATTATTATTAACTTTTTAAGTTTTTCTCTGCTTAAGAGAAGATGACATTTGTGCTTATTATTTCAATTTCAATAAAGGCATCTATGACGATTTTATTGTATTATGTGGAATCAAACGAGTCAGCTGAGCTCTGTGTACGTACCTACTCACTCAACGGCTGGCGGGCGCAGTCGGTCGTTGACCCGCGGTGGAATTTTACTGTTTTTCCGTTTTTTAGAAGTGCTTATTTATTAGTTGTTTTTCACTGGATATGTAAGCATGTTTGTTTAATATGAATAACTACTCAAAAGGAGGAAAGGGCAAAAAAATACACAAATTATAAATAAATACATGAAAAAAAAATACTTCAAAAAAATCTATACTCGTCACCCAACAATCTCACGAAGTTTCATTAAAACATTCAATTTCACCCTATATAATATGTCATTTTTAGTTTTCCTAAACTACCCCCTAAATGGGGTTTAGGAGGGTGTCGAAGTTTTTTATTTGGATGAATTTTAACGCGCGTTTCGATAAATTCGAAACTTCATTTTTACTAAAGACCAGAAATAAATAATAACGTGTAACAGGGATTTTCGAAAATTTACCCCAAAGGGGTAAAAAGCGGGATGAAAGTTTGTTTGAAAAATCTTATTCTTTGAGTTTATAGACTTTAAACTTGGTAGAAATACTTACCTAAATGAATTATAAAGTTTTATGTTTTATTCAAATTATAAAGTTTAATATTTTTGGTGCCAAAGTTTTAATGAATTTTCGATTATGTGGTAAAATAAGATGGTACAGAACTGGAGTGCAGTAAAATATGGAATAAAAGTTAAAATATACGTGTAAACAGAAAGGTATATTGTTATGAATTACGTCAAAAGTTTACATCAAATATTTACAAAGTGCCAACGTCAATTCTAAGTATAGAATTAAGATTGTAGCAACCAGTATTACAACAGATTAACTCTAAACTAAGTATTTATACTCATTATTCAACTAATGATGTAAATTATGCTACCACGGCCCTGATGGCCGCGTCGGAATTTTCCTAGCCTTGCTGCAAGGCAGCGCCATCTCTTCGCATTGTAGGTAACCCACGTCCGCAAACACGGTCCGCGTGGATTTTTTTCTAGTAAAAACTTTTCTTTAGATTTAAACATCTAGCAGTTAAATGCTTAAAAACATAATGATCTAAAGGTTTGTGTGTCTCTAAAAAATAGAGGGACTTTTAAGTAGCCACCCGTAAATTATTAAAACGGAACATAAATACACTTCATGCATGCATCATCCATTGATGATCAAAAGCTGATAAGCTCTCCAATTAACTGTTACACTTGTGGCAATAACTGGCTCTTCTTATTAATAAGCTGATTACTATCTCTGGCGGTCGGCATGTCCGTCTGTTGGTTTCATTGCTGTTATTATCGTATCCGGGTGCTTAATCAGGTGTAGAATATCTCTTTTTGTAATTACAAAATAATGCATTGTGAACATGAACACATTAAAGGTTATGATATCAAAATTCTTGATTATCTATACTTATATAAATCTGTAGAGAGGTCAATTCTGTACATGAAATATATTTTCAAAATAACTATCAGGGGGTGATTAGTGATCGATACTGATGCCAAAAATGCAATCAGTAAAATTTTTGTCTGTCTGTCTGTCTGTGTGTATGTTCCTTATAGAAACAAAAACTACTCGACGGATTTTAACCAAACTTGGTACAATTATTTTTCATACTCCTGGGCAGGTTATAGTATACTTTTCATCACGCTACAACCAATAGCAGCAGAGTAGTGAAGGGAAATGTTGAGAAAACGGGAGAAGTTACTCCATTTTTAAGCTTCCGTCGCGTGTGCAGCCTTAATGGTTAAAGTTACATAGAAATCATGTATGGCGAAAATATTCTACATAAAATTGTCTAAAAAATATCCCGCAACAGCATATCTCTATCTTTTATGGTTGACTCACAATAACACGTGTAATTATATAAATAAAGTCATTGTTCTTAGCACAAGCCTGAGAACAAAAACTATAGTTTACACTACAGCTCTACACCGAAGCGAAGCGAGGGCGGGCCACTAGTGACAAATATAATTGATATGTTCGTGATTTTATGAATGATTTACTTTTCTTGTCTTCATAGAAAATATTGGCAACATAGAATTATAGTTATGTTTTTATTTATTAAGCATTTAAGTAACTGCTAGATGTTTAAATCTAAAAAGAGTTTACAAGAAACAAAAAATCCACGCGGGCCATAACATAGAACACGGAGTACCCCCACTGCTGGGGGTGCTCCATGACATAGAATTATGTCTAGCAAAGCCTATTTGCGACTTAAGGAATGACTAGCGAGCTAATTGGATAACATATTTCCCTAGCTAGAAACAGAATTTTAAATAATGGTAATAAATAGAGAAAATAAATAACAAATAAATATTTCCAACACTCACACCAATTAGTCTAGCCCCAAAGTAAGCACTGTAAGCTTGTGATATGGGATACTAGGGTAACGCATGACTACATATTACTAATATATAATTATATTTATATATAAATATATATTAAACAAATGCTCGATTTCATCACATAAACATCTGCCCTCACCGGGATTTGAACCCGGGACCTCTCGAGTCGGCGACACCATGAAACCTGGCGAATAAACCACTCGGCCACGGAGGTCATCAAATGCTCAAGTTGTACGAGGAGCTCGACGGCGCGGGTGGTTAGCGCATTCGTCTGCGATTGTTGAAGTTAAGCAACTTTCGCAGTGGTCGGTCATTGGATGGGTGACTAAAAATCTTCTATCTCGAGTTCCTCCGTGCTTCGGAAGGCACGTGAAGCCGTTGGTCCCGGCTGCATCTGCAGTCGTAAGCACCCGTCAATCCGTGGGTCTTGGCCGAATCTCCCTATTCCATTCATAGGGAAGGCCTGTGCCCCAGCAGTGGGGACATTAATAGGCTGACGACGATGATGTAGAATAAACATAATTAACGCATTGTTTTGTAAACAGTTCGTGTAAGCGCAAAGAATCGTAGAGCTTCCATATTGAATAACGCAACAGTTAAATTAGGCCCTTCCTTCGTGTACACCATAGTATCATGGTGGTTATTAGGCCACGGCCTTCGTTTTGGACACAATTTTGTGCTTTGTAAGAGATTTTTGCTTCATACATTACGTCACACTATTGTTTTTTAGAGGTCATATGTTAATTCAATAGGACATTAGCAGATTAACTACTTATGTATCACTTGCGTGTTTTTTTATATGTGCGCGGTTTTTTTTATTATAATTGGAGATTACGTATTGTATGGAACAGGGAAATGTGTACGGGTCATGAAGGTTGTATCATTTATCAGTACATGAATTTTTATAAACAACTAGCGGCCTGCCCTCGCTTCGCTTCGGTGTAGAGCTGAAGTGTAGACTACAGTTTTTGTTCCCAGGCTTGTATTATACACAATGACATTCATCTATGATTCTTCTTATACCTGCATGCAAAGTCTCAGCCCGATCGGTTTAAAATTGACAAAGTTTCATACAAACTTTCATTCCCTATTTTATCCCCTTGGGGGTAGAACTGATCAAAATCCTTTCTTAGCGGATGCCTACGTCATAACATCTACCTGCATGCCAAATTTCAGGCCGATCCGTCAAGTGGTTTGGGCTGTGCGTTGATAGATCACTATGTC